TTCAGACAGAAAAAAGCGCGCGCCCTTGTTCAAACTGTAACTCCTGCATACGTGCTTAAAAACGAAATCTTGCAACATGAAACTTGTAGCTTGTTAAATCATGATTTCAACCATATAAAAAACTTGATCTAACTCTAAGAAACCAGGGAGAATTCCAGTGCCCTTAATTTATGACCTAATTTTTTCAGCAACTTCAACTATCAAATACTCCTAGCTCAGTCAATATAAATGGAATCTATGCATATGTACAGCTTAAGCACATTAAAGACTACATTTTTGCTTCACAAATCTAAGCTTAATGATGCCTAAATAAGGAGTTAGAAACTTGCAAAATACCTGTTTCAGTTCAAGTTCGGATATGGCAATGTAGCAACTTTGGATGAGGCCTGAAGGACTTTTGAGCTTGCTTGATGTTCCCTTGATCTTTCCCATGCTCAGCTTGCTTTGAAATGGCTTGAATCTCCCTATAGAACTTAACCTGCAAACTCAAAATTGAAAATGGTGAAGCTTGAAAATGAAGTTACAGTTGCTTGAGAAGGGCTTGGACAGCTTAGGTGTGATATATGGAATGCATCTGAAATGGTTCAAGACAAAACGCACGAGGCAATTTGGTTTTGGCTTGGGTTTTGCAAAGCTTGCCCTGTTTTGGGCAGAAATGGAGTTTTTGGTGTATTTGGGTGTTTCAGATGCTATGAGCTCGTTTTTTTGGCTTGGTATAATGTGCTGAACTTGTTTCAAATGGTCACAAAGCTTGGTTTTAACAGATGCACAAGTTCTGTTCCTTTTTGCAAGCTTACTTGCTGTTGAAGCAAAAGTGAGTTGACAAAGGCAAAGGCTTGTACAAGTTAGCTCAGGGTCTGCCCATAGTTGGTATATTTTTCCTGATATTTGTGGAGTTGGTTTGCAGCAAAAGCTTTGGTTCATGGCTCAAGATAGACAAAGTTTGTAAAAGTTAACTTTATCAAAGTAGCAATGTTAACTTTTTGCCATTTTTGGATTAAATCTTTGTGTAATGCTCCATAACTCAGAACAATGCATTTGTCCAATGTATTTGCATTTAATTAAGGAGTGTGGAAAGGATTAAGTCCTGTAAAACAAGTACAAGCATGATCCAAACTGATTTACAAGTTGTAACATGGTGCAAAATGCCTTGGACAAAAGTGATAATTTGCCATTTTCAAACTTTCGATTCTCCCTAACCATGAATGATCTTGGAGAGTTCTTGGACATTTTGGAAAGCTTATAACATGATCTACAATCCATATTTGAAATGAATTTTTAGATTCCACTTGGAACTATGTGAAAAATTGCCATGAAGATAGGTCAAAATCCTGCCTAAACTAGGGCAAAATTTCACTAAGTTAAAAGTTTCATGGACCCTTATTCACAAAATCATAACTTGAGATCCAAGCATCTTTTGGAAAGAATTTGTGAATAAAAGTTGTAGATTTTGTGGAGGACTACAACTTTCATGTTGGAAATTTTGTTTGAATACAATTTAATCATTGTGAAAAAGTTGGGGAAATTTGGGAAAAAATAAAAAAATTCCATGACTTAGAAAATTTCTAAGTTATGAAAAATTTCAAACTTAAACCCTAATTTCCAAAATTAGGTTTCTTGGTGAACAAGTTTCATATTTTGACACATCTTGATGAAAAATGACCCTTGGCACTTGATTTTGACCAAAAAGTCAAAGTTTGACTTTTTAGTGTACAGTTGATTTTTGATCAGTTGACTGGAAAATTCATCTGTCAATCCAATGCATTTGAGATCTTTTGAACCTTGTGATTAGGTCAAGATGATTCTATTGATTCCTTGAAACCATGCTTGAACCCAATTTGCCATTGGCTAAGTTAAAAATCAGAAATTGCCCTTCTGCAGTCAAAACCCTAAAAATGACCATTTTGCTCTTTTGATGATCTGATCAAATTTCTTGAGGAGTTGTGGTCCAAACTTGATCAAATGGTTCATATGAGTCTATAATGTTGATGTGGATCAAAAATTATGAGGTTTGACTTTAAATTGGCCACAATTGACTTTTTCCACAATACAACTGATTTTTAGGTCAACTGTTCAATTGACTAGGCAAAAATATGATTCAAGGCTTGAAACTTGGTATGAGAAATCTTAGGGGTCCAACAAGAAGTATGAAAGTCACATGAGGCATTGGAAATCCAAAAATCCCTGTGCAAACTCAAACCCTAATTTCAGGTCAACAGTGCAAGGAGATGTCTTGAACAGAGCAAACTCTAATCCTGGTTTGGAGTCCAAGAAGTCTTGTGAGGAAAATCTTGATAAAATGAGAGGGAAAATTTTGGGGTACAACAATACTTGATTACTTTTCTAATAAACATTCATCATTCCTTAGAACTGCTGATGTTTCTATAGAAACGGTCTCAATAGTTCTTCTGTTGAGTGCAGTGGTACTTCTGATGATATTTGTCTTCTTATGGTTATTACTTCTGTTAGTAGTTTGGCTTGAGAAGATATCATTCTTTTATCTTGTCTTCTGATGGACTTTGTGATGTTGATTATAAATGAATCCATAAGATCTTATTTTCTTTAATCCTTTCTTCTGATGGAATACTTCTAATGTTGAATGAAGGTACGTATTTCATGAATTCTTTGAGTCCTCAGAATATTGACTTTGTCTTCAAATACATGAGCAACAACTCTTCTGATGAGCAAATCTTGAATTCTGATCTTAGATTAGAAGCTTTCTATATATGTGTTCAGAATATTGACTTCGTCTTTAGAATCATAAGCAACAACTTTTCTAATGAACTAGTCTTGACTTCTGACCTTCTGCGTTGGAAGCTTATTTCTTGTCTCCTCTTGATTTCTGATCTTGAAGCAACAACTTATCAGAAATTCTCTCTTCTTAGAAACTCATTGAAATTCTTTTCTTGTCGAACATTCAGCATTTCATAGAACTACTGATGTTATATTAAAAACATAACTCAATGGTTCTTCTTCTGAATGGTGAAGTGGTTCTGATGATATCTTGATTAAGACTATCCAGAATACTAACAATGTAACTGCACACTCAATGAAACCATTAGAAATAAAATTGTTGTGCATAAAATATATGTTTGTTATCATCAAAACTTAGATATTAAACATAGATCCTAATCTTGTTCTTACATGTAGATTTATTTTATTTTGGTTGTATATATATATATATATATATATATATATATATATATATATATATATATATATATATATATATATATATATATATATATATATATATATATATATATATATATATATATATATATATTGTGACACACAGACTTTTTATTTATTAGATAATAGTTTGATGATTACATGTTTCGAATCGATGATGAACATAAAAAAACAGTACAACAAACATAAACCATAAACAACTAAACATGAAAATCTATGCACTACTGGATGTTTCTGGATATTTCAGTATCTTGATTATGTCATCGACGGATCTTCAGATCTCCGCATCCAACTCAATCGAACCTTTAGTTATCCTACGGCGAAATGATTTTCACATGGCCATCACATCTTCATCATTCTTCAATTCGATCAGGTTGTATTTCACTCTTCTATTTGTATCAATCCAATCCTCCTGAAACTCGATCTTGGTCACCCTTCTGTTATCGAAATCGGGCAGTAGTTCATTCAACTTATCTTTCAAGTTGTCGAAGGATGTGGTGTCATCTGGAAGCTTGAATTCAACAACAGGGTTGTTTCCGTTGAAATATATTTCAACCTTAATCAGAAATTGAGGAAGAGGCATTGTTTGAGATGTTTTTCTGTGTAGCATTTGCCCCTATTTATATAAATGGTGATGCATTCTAGACCACGCAAATTTGTCGGTGCAATCTGAACCCTCCAAACTTATCATCAAAATCTCGACCGTTTAAAAAAACTGAATAAATGAACTATCAAAAATTTCAGTATATCTCAAATTTTCAGTACTGTCTAGCAAATTTGAAATTTCTAGAATACCGAAAATTTAAAATATACTACCAAAAATTTACATACACCAGAAATTTTGTAGAAGTGTACCTGAAATTTCGTGTGTACTGGAAATTCCAATACGTCTACTGGAAATTTCGTCCATAAATTTGTTTGTAACTCAACAGAGATAATTCTGGAATAAAAATAATTTAAGACTGACATGTATAATTTGAGGGATGGGATGTCAGAGCCTCCTAATAGTGCTAAAGATAACTTTTGGATTCAAAGTCCATGAATTTCATGTAAGAATAGAGCAAATTTATTTCCTGTAGTAAAAAGATTTTAATATTTAAGGGATTTTAAAGAAAATTCTCTGCATATAAATGATACATTATGAAGATTACTTACTTAGAGATCCAAATCATTTTATTCAGAAACTTAATTCTGGATGAGAAGAAAGAGGTCTGGCCAATTAACATATTGCAATTGCTTTAAGCATCAATGATCAGTAACATTAACATCTGTCTTGAAGTAGTGGTTACTGCTTAAGCCCTTGTTTCTAATGCAAACAAACTGCTAAGTCCACATTAATCATAGACACCTTGCGTGACACTAAGGACTAGGGAACACTACTAGGCCTTTTTAAACTATAATTAAATTTGGTCATATTGCTTTCAAGGGTCCTATTGTCAAGAAACCAAACTAGGGGATAACCATGTCCTATTCTTTTGAATCCATTAAATTTGTTGATCCTTTTGTCAATTTTAAATGGAATTTCACTACACATTACTATTCAGTGCGTCTTAAAAATGAAACAAACACCACCAAAAGAAACCTAAAATGATAGTTGAATTTATAAACAAAAAGGCTTGGTTGGTAATTATATTTATAACACAGGGGCTTACATTTTAGGGTCCTCTTAACTATGATCCTTAAAACACTTGTTGAAAACTAACAGATAAATATTTTTTGCTGCGTTTTTATTATGGCACGTGTTGTGTAACAAGTAACTTTGAACTCTGCAACAAAAGTATTATTGTTTCTCTTCTCTCTTTTTGAAACTACTTTACAACTAAACTAGGGGACTCTCTTGTCAACGATGATGATTCCTCGACAAACTCTGATCTCAACTTCATCAAAAGTCGTCCAAGATAATTCAAGCCTTCTCCTTCTCGACCACCACCCCAAAAGATATCATGCGGAGAAGCCTCAACTAGAACCGAACCAGCAGTTGAAACCAGCATAGAACTCAACTGCGGATACGTGGAGAATTTGCATTTCAGTGCTGAGTACATGACATCGATCTTCGTGTTGTCCCAGTCAGGCCTTACCTGCATGCCCCATAAAATATAATGTTTCAAACATTGAATCAACATACCTGATTGACATGTTTTCATAAGCTATCTTCAAGAGTTTATGAAAATAAGCTGAAATCAGCTTATGGACTTGTCTTCAGCTGTTTTCATAATGTCTCTACAGCGGTTTTCGAAGTGCTTATTTCAATAGATAACTCGATTCATACCAGATCAGGGCGCTGTTTTTGCATTGACCTTGCTATGCAAAAAGCTTCTTCAGGACTTTTTGAAGATTTGATCCTTTCAATACAATCCCGCGCAGCAGGATCATCGACTCCAACAAACTTGTGCGCCTAGGCATCAAATTAAATTTATAACCAATGAAATAATACTGCAAAATGAAAATAGAATCTATGCACGCAAAAAAAGTACCTGGTAGCAATGCTCCACACTCAACCAAGTCACGCTATTGCCATTTTCATCAGGCATTTGAATGGGATGAGGAGAGAAATTTGACAACGCACCATAAGAATCCCATGATTCGTAGAAAAATATGATGCTGGATTCATAAGGTGAGACAGTAGGGTCAACAACAAAAGTTTCCTCTGGCGATGGGATTGTCGGTGCCATGTTCAATATCGGTTGAAGAAATCCGCTAACAAGCATGTCAGGCCCAATCTGCATTAATGATTTATTCATCAATAAATGCATAGATTAAATATATAAATGTTTTAATAGGAATAAAATAATATTAGTACTTCGAAGAAATTCGGACTTACCTGCTCATAGGAAACATCAACTAGATTTATAGCCTGTGACATCTCAACCATCCCAAGATCACCGACAGGAGATGGTGCATTCTTTCCACCAATAATTTTAGGAACAACAAATGCATGAATCTGAACATAAAGATTTCTGTTATTGTAACATTTTATAAAATAAATCAACTAAGCAAAACTCATTCTAAGTGGAATTTGTCTCCTATAATAAGTAAGAACAACCATCCAAACATTAAGACAGAAATGAAGAGGGGGATAACGGACACCCCAAATCAAAGAATGTTTTCATTCTTGTATGTATTTTTAAAGGCCTGGCTGATATCAGGCAATGCTAGCACAGGTGCCTCAGTTAAGTCCTGCTGTAATTTTCTGAAAGATTCCTCAGCTTCATGACTTCACATGGAAGCGACCTTCTAGTAAGTCTGTCAGCGGTCTTCCCATACTCTTCAACAAACCTTCTTCATTATCTCTTCAATCCAAAGAATCCTCTAACCGCCTTGACATCCTCGTGAATTGGCCATTGGAACATGCATTCCGCCTTCTGAAAGTCTATGATGACGCCCTCTCATGAATAAGGTGTCTTAAGTACTCAAACTTTCTTTTTCTAAAACTGCACTTCTTCTAATTGACAACATAATGAGAATGTTGTAGGGTAGCCAGCACTGTCTTCAAGTGTTCTAAATGTTCTAGTCATGTCATGTTATTGTTACCTTAAAATTTCTTTGAGGCATCTATTGCATTGTTAGTAGGGCAATCCTATAAACTGAAGGGAAAGTACCTTCTAGGAGTAGGAACTTTAAGAGGACTAGAGTCAAAAAAACGATAGCCGGAAAGTTCTTATAAAAATCAAAGAGAAATCGAAGAATAAAAGAGCAAGTAGTCGACAGAGGAGATAACGAGCTAGTCGACTTTAGTTCGTTACTAAAGTGGAATCCAAAACTTAGAGAATTTTGGTTATTTGTTCACAGTAAGGGTTGATAACGAAAGCAGAATCTATAGGCGGGATAGGTTTTGAAATTTGAATATTGTAGTGGTTGCAAGAAGTTTTCTAAATCAAGACGCCAGCTACGTGGCTAAATCTTAGGAGGCAGTTTCTATTAAGCCACAAACGTGTCAACTTAGTATTTCATTGAACTGCATGTTCAATTACTATGTAACTACTATAAATAAGAGGGTCCAATGTAGGATTCAGGGTGTTCACTTTGTACTGAAATCACTTGTAAAACTTCACATTTCCAAGCGTAAGGAAGCAAAAAGTTCAAGAGTGTTAATGTACGTGAATCACCACATTTATTTCAATGCAAACTCCTTTCTTTTCAGTCGTGTCCTTGAAATCTTTTACTTGTATCTTATTTACTTTTGAACAATATTTTTACATTGTCATTTACTTTATTGAATCTCATTCTATCACAATACTGGAATTCATCGAGAATTCACTCGACATTTACTTCGTCTAAGAAAAGTCCTGGTCCTCTGTCGATCACAAGTCACCTTCAGTTGGTAAATTCATAGCATATTTGTGGAAAACTTTTACTTGTTCTCTTTGTTTAGAGAAAATCGTTTCGCACAAAGGCTTTGCGTCGACAGAACAAGTCGCATTTCGTTTTTATTAGCACATGTCTTAGGATTAAGTAGTTGATCCTGCAAGTAACCCTTAGTTTTAGACTTAGGAAAGACTAGCGGTTGTTTACCAATTTCCACAGTAAACAAATTGGCACACCCAGTGGGACCAGTGCTAGTGGAATCTATCTAGACAATTTTTGAATGTTTGTGGGTATATGAGACTTAGAAGTGGAAATTGAACCAGAGAGTATATTAAGCCACAAGTTAAGCAACGTATACCAAGAATGACTAATCCTGGAAACACTAATGCGAATGTAGTACCGCCACGCACGATAACTACCACGGATACAGTAGTTTCTCAAGTTGCGCCTTTTTCTGCATTAGCAAAAATCCAACTACGTCAATGTCGACTGCAGGCATAGTCACTATCCCCCAGGCTCCACCGGTGAGTCCAGGGCCTGTAATAACTACGAATGTATTACCTAATGTGCCCCGTTTAGGTATTGCTGATCCTATTTATGGAATGTTGTATTCCTTAATGTCAGGATATCAGTCGACATCAAGCCCAACGTTATTTTCAAATAACGCTCAAAATGTGAATTCCCCGTTACAAGGATCTGTACCAGAGGGAAATTCTCTAAATAGAAATACCCAAAGTAGAGTGGTTCCTATTCAGCCAGTGCCTCCGCTAACTAACACTTCAGTAGCGGTCTTAAGGCAGCAAATTGATGATAGTAACCATGAGTTAGTTAACATGTTAACCAACCAGATGGGTACTGTGTTTAACTCTATAGTGCGGGAATCGGCTAAGACGAATAAACAACCTGCTGAGACAAATAGGCAGGTAATTGCTCAATTAATACGCTTGTGTAATTTTTTGAGTGCTCCTCCAGCGCCTGCTTGACAGGCACCACCTGTCGTTCAACCAGTTATCCCTGTCCAAACGGAATTGGAGGCAGTAGATGATGAAACTATTCACCAGGGGAAAGTAATAAGGCCCAGATACAGCAAAATCTTGTGGTCGACCCACCAAGGGTCATTGATCGCCCTTCAGTGGTATTGGTTAACCGACAACAAGATGATGAACATATTGTTGATCAATATCGACAAGAAGATTTAGCAATAGAAAATAATTTAACTACTATTGTCGAAAGAATCATGGCCAGGAATGGTATGAATACCATACTGCAAAGGCCAACGTATTCTTCCCTTTTGTCTGAATACATCTTGCAGACTGAATTATCTAGGGAATGGAAGATCCCTAAATACACAAAGTTTGGGGGAGAATCCGGTGAGTCGAGAGTAGAACACATTGTTAGATATTTAACTGAGTCAGGGAATATGGCGAATAATGAAAACATGCGGGTAAAATTTTTACCTTCGTCCCTTACTAAGGTAGCCTTCACATAGTTTACCACTCTGCCCCTAAATACAATTGATTCATGGACCAAACTAGAAAGTCTTTTTCATGAACAATTGTATGAGGGACACTCGAAAATTAGCTTGGTAGAATTATCAAATATAAAAAGAAGGTTTATAGACAATATTGATGATTACTTAAATAGGTTTCGTGCGTTGAAAGCAAGATGCTTCACTCAGGTGCCTGAACATGAACTTGTTCAAATGGCCGCAGGAGATTTAGATTACTCTATTAGGAAGAAAATAGACCCAACCTATGTGAAAAGTATGTCGCAGCTAGCTGATAGAGTTTGACAGCTTGAGCGTCTGAGACTAGAGAAAGTCAGACATACAAAGGCTAAAAAAGAAAAAGTAGCCTTTGTAAATTTTGATGATACGAATCCTATTTATGAGGCTGATTATGCTTCACCTACGGAAGTAGAAGTCGACATGGCTGAGATGAAGTCAGGACCTTCATATGAAAGTAAATTATTATTTCCTTCCAAAGGAAAAAACCCTGTCGAAAACAATCTAAAATTTCCAACAAAAACTTTTACTTTTAATGTCACTAAGTGTGAAGAAATTTTTTATTTGCTAGTTAAAGATGGTCAAATTTTAGTACCTCCAGGTGCTAAATTACTACCATTGAAACAACGATAAAAAAGAGATTTTTGTAAATATCATAATTATCTTGGTCACACAACCTCACAATATTTTCTTTTCAGGGATTTTGTGCAAAAATTACTTCAGGAAGGAAGGTTGAAATTTGCCAGAAGGAAGATGAAAATCGACGTTGACCCTCTTTAGCAAGAAGAAGCGTTGTTTGTCGACCCAATCGAGATAAATATGGTGGAAATTGATGAGTTTGCTGATGCAGACATGGTAGAGGGCACTGATGAAAGCCCTAATGTGGATTTGGTTGTTGTCTACCGTAAGCCTGAAGAGGATTTGTTAGACTTCTTGTATCGTTGCAAGAATAAGGGCTCGTGAGTTTGTTTGTGCCCTAGATATGGCGCTGTAACTGACAAAGTTGTTGCTGAAAATTTTCAGAAACTATAGCTGGAGAAAGCCAAAGGCAAGTTCTTTAATCAGAAGTTTCACCCACACAGAGAAGGTGCTCCAAGAAAAGTTATGGGAAACTATCAGTCCAGGCCAAAGAGTTTTGTTCTGTCAGTCAATGCTCTTAGGGGCGCCTGGATAAAGCCTCAAGGAAATATGGAAACACCAAAGGGTGTTGCTACTGCCAGAGACAAAGGAAAATTGGCCATGAACTACCGACAAGAGTTCAAGTCAGAAAAGAAAAGCCATGTTTCTGAGAATTATATGGGAAAAAACCCTATGACAAGGATCCAATGGAGGCACTTTCAGCATCGTAAGCAGGCTGAGAGGCAGGCTGCTAAAGGAAATGCTAAGAAAGCTGCTAGAAGCAAAGAGGGTTTTGGAAAGAAATATATGGTGAAGGTCGACGCAGCTGCTAAAGAGCGTATAAAAGAATTTGTTCGTCAACCCATCATCAAAAGTTCTGAAGAAGCAACTGATGATTTTGTCAGATTCAGGGGAGAGTCTGAATATTTTGGTGAATGTAGTGTCGATTTTACCAGCTGAGTACGATTGTTCCACTGAAGTTGATGAGTCGACAGATGCAGATGCTGAAGAAATGGCTTTATATAAGCCAACATGCTATTTTGTGATGAATAATGGTTCTGTGGAAAATCAAGATGCTTTTTTCGAAAAGCCAAGTATGGCCATGAAGAGCCATTTGAAGCCTCTCTTGATTAGAGCAAAAGTGGAGGGGATAGCTATCAACAAAGTTTTGATAGATTGTGGTGCTACTGTGAATATAATGCCACACCACTTATTGAAGAAAATTGGCAAATATGACACCTACATACGGTCTCATAATGTAGTCTTGTCAGATTATGGGAGTAAGACAGGAAGCACCATGGGAGTGATCCAAGTGGATATTACTATCGGCACAATAATAAGGCCGACTATATTCATGGTTATTAATGCCAAGCCAAGTTATAATCTTGTAGTCGAACTTTATTATGAAGTGGGATAACATTAAAGCATTAAGATTATTATGAAGATAGACTGATGATCACACCTCATGAATCATGGATAAGGAGTTATCAAGTCTTGACATAGGTATGAATATTAGGAGTAATATTTATACTGGATTGACCTGCTATGAGAATACTATATAGAATGTTATGCAAGGTGTCATAAGTTATTCTCATGGTAATAATGGTGTATACCACCTTTCAACCTGAAACCACTATGGATTCTAGTTGTAAAGTTAAGTACTTTATTGTTGATCAAACGTTATCCGTAACTGGATGACCATAAAGACAATTGATGGCTACTTCACAAAACATGTTGAGGGACATGAGTGACCTAGATGTAATTTGCATATCCTGCATAACAGGATAAATGTCTAAGGGCCCAATATTAAACTAGACAAGGGTGACACGGTCTATGTCTTGTGTTCAATATAGACATAAGGGCAAAAGGGTAATTGTACACACAAATATTATCACATAGAAAGGTTTTGTCAGATCACATGACATTTTCGTGACTTGGGTAGCAGTGATGTGTTGTTAGATACCGCTCCATGTTTATTATGTTAAATGTGTGATTTAATATAATTGTCAACGTCACGAAAACCTACAGGATCACACACAGAAGGACAGGTTGATGAGAGGTGGAGTAAATAAAGAACACCGTAAGGTGCGATGCACTTAAGTGAATTTTAGAACACCGTAAGGTACGATACACTTAAGTGAAATATGGAATGTGGTAAGGTACCACGCGCTTAAGTGATATGCGGTATATCATAAGGTATGATACTCGTAGGCTTAATTGGGCTTTTAGCTTGCAGCCCATGAATCATATGTTTTGCTACCTCATTCTAGACGTAGCTATTTTGGGAAAAAAGTTTTTGGAAAAAAATTCTGGACTTTTTTTTTTCAAAAAAAAAAAGGAAAACTTTTTCAGAATATTTAAAAAAATATTTTTTTATATTAAAAATATATATATATTTTGGAGCAAAAAATATGGAAATTATTTTTTTCAAAAAATAAATAAATATTTTTTTTCAAAAATTAAAAAGAAATTATTTATTTTGGGAAATATAAAAAAATTATAATTGAATTGAAATATTTTGATTTTGAATTATAACCAAATTCAAAAGAAAAATACGGTTGAATAACCATTAATTTTATCGCGATATTTTAAATAGATTTGAGACTCACAAACATACCCTGATATTTTTAAAAACTTTTAAGCATATCAGACATTGATAATAACAAATTGAACTTCATTTAAACTTCCCCGTGGAAATGAAAAAGATAAATGAAACCTTGTGAATGACTCCAGATGAAATAGCAGATGCGGCCAAGGTTCCTCCGCACTCCCAGAAAACTGAAAGATAACCGCAATTGTGAAAATACTCCATAACATTTCGGGGATTTAACATGTCAAACTCGACAACTTCAACTCCTTTAGACGCAAGCAGCTTCTGGAAACTCTTCCTCGCACCTCTCTGTGTTACAACTATGGTAGAAACCTCAGTCATGTCCCATAGGTTTGCTTTGTCTGGAAGATCGAGGGACTGAGACATTACAATACGTATTGGCATATGCCCGCCTCCATGTCTCTCCGTCAGTCTTGGATCTGATTGATTTTAGAAGGAAAGTAGGTATCAAAAATCAAATTTCAATAAACTTATAGACAAAAAAAACATTGATCATGATGATACTTACTGTCCCTTCGAACTGTATTTCCTCCCACAATTATTGCATTGCTTCTGGCTCGCAGCTCATAAACTAGATTTCTAGATTTCTTGCTGCTTATACAACATGCATGACCAGTGCTAGCAGCAATTTTACCTGTTGCACGGACCAAAAGGAAGGTAACGAGACAAGACATAGCGGCCAACAGTCTAACTAAACTGAAAGATTCTGCACTTAAAACTTACGCAAGAAAATGATTAGAATCCTCACCGTCAAGGGTCATAGCATAGTTGAGAACAGAAAAGGGAACATGCAAATGAGCTCTACAAATCAAAGGAGCATTAACAAGAAGACATTCTTTCTGAGCATCCTGTAAATAAAACCGAAGACATGAATGCATATGTATGATAAAAAGCTAAAGGTAGTCACTATACATTACTAGTAATACACACCTCTATGAGCTTACTGGTGAGATCCTCTCCGAGAAGATCAACCTGCAATCCTTGACTTCTGAGTGCACGAACAGCCTTGCCTCTAAAATGTTGCAAAGGGTGTCTCATTCCAATGACAACCCTTTGGACACCACCCTAATTTCGTTTCACATATACAGCACGGTCAATTATCAACTACAAACACAAACTGAAGTCAACATACACACACCCAAACAAAGTTGCACTTGTGAACGACGGCATTGCTTGTCACATTACTAGCATACCTGAAGCAGAGCAGATACAGCAGCGTTGTCGCCGTCACAGTCACCGGATTCCATGTTTAGGTAAGCGGTGGCACCACGGCAGCGCTCGCCAGCGGAGGTGACGGCCTGAACTTCGGCCGGGCTAGTACCTTGCGCGTAGAGGTAGCCCTCACCGGCGACATCTCCGGATGGGGTGGCGATGACGCAGCCGAAATTGGGATGAGGGGAAGTGAAGCCGGCGGATTTGTCGGCTAGGAGGGCGGCGCGTCGAATATAGGCGGCGTCAAGCGCGTGGCTGTTAGTGTCAACGGATGCTTTGCATTTACAGACGATGGAAGAGAATGAGAAAGAGTTGGCAATTGGAGTGAGACCGAACATCACTGCATAATCAACGTGTCTGGTTCTTTACACTTTGGTACTACTACATTGTTTTTTTTTAACAAGAAAATTTATATCATTTCATTCCTAATCAAATTTGATGAGAAAGGATATACTACATATATCGGATCTGGGAGTAAAAAAATATGATATAACATAAAGATTGGAGCACGAGTCTAGCATGGTACAAGTATGTTGTCGTTGTCTACTCTATTTTTCAGATAAATGACAACCATCTCTTATCACTACAATTATAGATATTGGATTTTAAGTTATGCAAAAATATGTGGTTAGTATTGGAAGTTTAGATTAATTTAAATGTATTCTGGAAGTTTCTATAATCGATTCGTACAAAATAGCTTATTTAGAAAAGTATTTCCGAAAAATTGAAATTTGAAAGTTTCGAAAAAGAAACAAGTTTTCTACTTTGAGGAAATTCATTTCTGTCACGTGTTTCAGTTAGAGATTTGTTTTTCAGTTGAGGAAATTGATTTCTTTGTTTTAGAAAATCGATTTCTGGCGCGATATTTTTAGTTTTAGTTTTTTTGTTTTGTTGGGTCTGTTTGGTTCCAAAGGTGTTTTAATTGTATGGGAAGTTTAGATTAATTCAAATATATTCTGGAAGTTTTTATGACCGTTTCGTACAAATTTATCTGGAAAAGCATTTCTGAAAGACTGAAATTTGGAAGTTTCGAAGAAGAAATCAGTTTCCCAGTTTGAGGAAACCGATTTCTGTCACGTGTTTCAATTTAGGATTTGCTTTTCAGTTGAGGAAACTGGTTTCCCTATTTTAGAAAACCGGTTTCTGGCGCGATATTTTTAGTTTTTTTTTGTTGTTTTGTTGAGTCTGTTTGGTTCCAAAGGTGTTTTAATTGTATCATATTGTTGGCTAGGATTTCATTAAGAGAGAAATCCAAACCAAACGTCAAAAGGTTCTTTTAAGAGCATTAAAGAGTATTAAATTATGAGGAGTCGACTACATTAGCATGTCGACCATGGATGATTCTGCAAGTAGTCGACCAAGGTTTCGTAAGGACGGTCGATCACATAAGGGTTCATGGTGAATGGATTGGGCCCAAGGGAGGTTAGAAGTCCAAAAGGGTTAAAAGGCACATAAGTGCCTAAACCGCAAAGACGAAGCGTTAGGGAGGGAGAACATGAGTTCGACAGTTACAATAGAGAACGTGGGTTCGACCGCAAGAATGGAGAACGTGGATTCATAAAGAGAAGTTACAATAGAGAACGTGCTTTCGTGAAAGGAAGTTACGAAGAACACATGGCATGCAAGGAAACTGATCGCACCTGACCAAAAGGGTTATCAAAGCCCACAAGCTTCAAATCGAGCAGCGGTTGAATGTGAAGTGGGAGGTACCTGCAAGACACTTTGATGCCAAAGTGAGGTTCAGAGTAATGCAAGCAAGTATGATAGTAAGTATGAAAGAATGAATACCTGACCCTCTCAAGTGAGAGGATATTTATAACCTTTAGCGCTAGGCCAAGATCCCCATCATTGGGCTGAGCAAGCGGGCCCAAAATGGAGACTGTCAGGTCCTACGTGCGTACTGGAGGCTAACACATGGTCCCCAATCTAGATGAACACCTCTGAATTATCAGGAGGATACAAATGCAGACTTTTCGGGACCAAGAGGACTCTATTAATTCGGAGGTGTTGAGAGTCAGCCCTACGAGGAGTATGCTCGTGAGATACTTTTGTCTGTCGTGGACCCTCCTGTTGGTGTAAGCCCTAGAGGCCAATACTTTTGGTACTTGTATCGGATTATTTATTAATAATAAAAGGCATTTCTTTATTATGTTTTCCAAAATAATAAAGTCCCTAGAATGGTTTATTGGTTTAATGAAATGTTAAGTGTGACTTAATCATGAGATCCCATTAAACATAAGAAACTATTCTTAAAGTATTTGTAGTCAAGCTTTAATGTGAAGTGGGATAACATTAAAGCATTAAGATTATTATGAAGATAGATTGATGATCACATCTCATGGATCATAGATAAGGAGTTATCAAGTCTTGACATAGGTATGAATATTAGGAGTAATATTTATACTGGATTGACCCGTTATGAGAATACTACATAGAATGTTATGCAAAGTGTCATAAGTTATTCTCATGATGATAATGGTGTATACCACCCTTCGACCTGAAACCACTATGGACCCTAGATGTAGAGTCAAGTACTTTATTGCTGATCAAACGTCATTTGTAACTGGATGACTATAAAGATGGTTGATGGGTACTTCACAAAGCATGCTAAGGGACATGAGTGACCTAGATGGAATTTGCTCATCCTGCATAACAGGATAAATGTCTAAGGGCCCAATATTGAACTGGACAAGGGTGACACAGTGTATGCCTTGTGTTCAATATAGACATGAGGGCAAAAGGGTAATTGTACAACACAAATATTATCACGGAAAAGGTTTGGTCAGATCACATGACATTTTCGTGACTTGGGTAACAGTGATGTGTTGCTAGATACCGCTCACTGTTTATTATATTAAATGTGTAATTTAATATAATTGTCAACGTCACGAAAACCTACAGGGTCACACACATAAGGACATGTTGATGAGAGATAGAATAAATAAGGAACACCGTAAGGTACGGTGCACTTAAGTGTAATACGGAAAGTGGTAAGGTACCACGTGGATAAGTGATATATGGTACATCATAAGGTATGATGTCCATAAGCTTAATTGGGCTTTTAGCTTATAGCCTTAATTGGGCTTTTAGCTTGTAGCCCACACGGGTGATTCTATAAATAGATCCCTTGTGATGAAGTTTTTTCACTTGATGCATTTTCGTTTTTGACTCTCTCTCTCACTCAAGGTTTCCGTTCGTGATCAGCTAGCACTGTGACCGGAAGCGATCTGTTCGTGTGGACTGAGTAGAGGCGTTGTTCTTCATCAACGCTCGTGATCACGACATCAAAAGTCTGAATCGCCACAAGAGGTAAAACTTTCTATCACTGACCATGCTCATTCGTAAGGATCTCTAAAGGAAAATTTTATATTCTGCTGCGTTTTGATCACAATTTTCCTTCAGTGGTATCAGAGCCACTTACGAAACCATGGATCTGATAGTTGTTTATGTTCTATATTTTCTGTTTTGATTCGATTAAAACCAGAATGAATTGAATAATAAACGATTAATTAAATTTGGCATCTGTTGTGTACGATTTGGATGATTGATGTTGACTATGCTTCGGAATCCGACATTAGTATGGTGAAGCAGCGATACATTGATCGTCCATAGGTTACACAAATAAGATCGATCACTCTTATATATGATATAAGTAAATCTGATGCAACGATGGTATATGTGATATACTGTTTCTGTTTCGTTCATTCAAACACATGATGATTGTTATTCCTTTGACCGATCACTGTTCATATGCTTCGGAATCCGACATTAGTATGGTGAAGCAATGGCATGTGATTAATCATACTGAATTATCAATCGAGATGTGTTTGACAGCATGAAACTGTTGCATTAGGGTTCATGACGGCACAAGGGTTGTGTTGTTGCAGAGTTATGCGATTAGGGTTGTGAATGCACAAGAGTTGTGCGAAAATGACGCCGATTTCGTCCGCTGACCGGGCAGCGGAACCCCCAGCTAACTCTGCGTAGTGTGATCAATCATCGAAATTTAATTTGCCTTTTTTTTAATTAACAAAATTTAAACTAATAATAAAAGTGTGTTTATTATTATTGTCTTGTGGTGATCAGTTATGGCCTTAGTTTTTTTTTTCCCTTTATTTTGTTTTGAGATTGAAAAATACGGCCTGCGTGTCGTGCCTCTCTCTAAAATTCTTGATGTAACTTCTTTTCTCATCTCACTCCCTCGTATGTAAAACGAGTTTCTTTTATGTAATGTAATATTATGAAGAAAGAGAAGAATACAATATCAAAGGAGGATAACCTTGGAGATCTTGCTTGGAGAAGTTTAGATCGTTATTAGGTTAGCTTAGGTTCTCTCATTGGCTTGGGAGAACAATTGCGCTAGGGGCCATAACTGTATCCTTTTATGTATATTGATGCATGTGTTTGTATGTTGATGCATGAGAGAGACGAATTGCATGTTAAGCCGGTGAGATCAAACTAATAACAAAATCCCTCAAGTTAAATATTAAGTTCATGCTTTCCAAGTTTTAGCACTCATCAAGACTAGTATCGAATAATGTAGGTTTCGCCTACGCGAGGTGCATGTTCTATATTAGTAAGGTGCGATGGGATAATTGTAATATCCAACTGCTAAAACAATGGGTCAAACTTAACTAAACACATTATAATAAGATTATACATGTTTAGAAGCAAGAGTTGGGAATGATTCATATGATGAATTAGAATAAGGAGTTATTCACCCAACTGAAAATATTCGAGAGTTGTATGAGATACAATTGGAAGGAGTTCCTACCTAAATAACCTAGTTTTGTGTAATCAGCCTAACGCTGACTTAGAACAAAGTGAAATATGGATCTCGACCCACTAGAAAGTCTTCCAACGGGATTTTCCGAATCAAATGATGAGGGTCATTTGGTTTGAGTAAAATAGTGGGAGCATATTTGATTAAAGGCCTAATTAAATATGTTGTTTTAATGATACTTATATTTTCATTTTTTTTGTAGATTACCATGACAACAAACAACCATATTTTGCGATCAATCCTAGATAAGGAAAAATTGTCTGGGACAAATTTCCTGGATTGGCACCGAAATCTGAGGATTGTCCTCAAGCACGATAAGAAGCTGTATGTCTTGGAGACACCTGTTCCTGAAGAGGAACCGCCTAGTTCGGCACCTAAGGCAGAAAGAGAAGCTTATAAGAAGCATCTTGATGATGCTAATGAAGCCGCTTGTCTCATGCTAGCTACTATGAACTCGGAGTTGCAAAAGCAACACGAGAACATGTCAGCGTTCGATATGATCGGACATCTGAAAATGCTCTATCAAGAGCAGGCAAGAAATGAGAGGTTTCAGGT